AAATGTTGGAGGATGTTACTAGTGAAGGATATGTCCTGCAATTATTCTCTTGGGTATAATGCAAAATATGGTGATGGCCATCAGCTTTCCTTGTGATAATAATGAGGTAGAATTTCTATGCATAACAGGTATCCTTTTTCAGACTTCTTGTTGTACTTTCTACTCAAATGCAGTGCAATTATGGCTGGATTTACACTGTCATATAATGACATTTGGATCTGTATTATACAGGTCCCATCTACCTTGTCATATAATGCAGTATGCTATAGAACCAAAGTGCATTACAATGGGTCTTCACTGACCATATAATGAAGATTGAAACTGCCTGATATGAGATGGTGCCTGAATAATATGGATCCAAACTGCATGATATGGCAATGTAGATCCAGCCTAAGGCTTCCAGGCAGAGGCGGCCCTAGGTAATTTTCAACGGTAAGCAAACAGTATTTTGTCCCTGTCCCCCCCCCCCCCCCCACCAATCACTGATATATATTTTCTGTTTGTCGTGGGAGTTCTGTGTGCCATATTTGGTTCAATTCCATCATTGGTGGAGTTCAGAATGCTCTTTGATTGTAGGTGAACTATACATCCCAGTAACTACAACTTGCATATGTCAAGGTCAAGAGTGAAAATAACACTTGGGAGGAGACCTATACTAACTTGAGAGTAAGACCACCTGAATTCAATAAAACATATTTCTAAATGTTCAGATTAGGTTACCTTAGTGTTAAACCTGGCAAGTAGAGCAATATAACTACTTTTTGAGATAATTTTGAGCATTCAAATTTGAAATTACATAGAAAATCTTCTGCCAGCCTTTCTTTGCTCTCTAATTTGTCATTATGATTCCCTTTTGGGGTTTTTCCCCATTTGTGAGAAACTGCTAAATATTTTTAATGATTACAGGGAAGAGGAGGCTATTGAAGTGTTCACTAGACACTTCAAACTTATTGGTGCATTATGTCTTCTATCAGCCTGTACTGCCAGCTTGTACTGATCAACACATGCCTCTTTCTTTACTTTATATTATTTCAGAAGAATTCATACTAATGGAGCTTAACTCCAATAATGATGAAGACATCTAAAGTCAAACCTGTCTAGGAGTCAGAAACAATGTTCATGGCATGGGAGAGATTCCCGTATCTATAGGAAGGCCATTATTTCCCAATATTCTCTCTTGTTACACAGACTAGGACACTGAATTCATTCGGAGTAAAACAATATAGGTGGGATGAGTACTGGTGGACATTTAACAGGAGCAAACCAAAGGACATGGGTTGTCATTTGCAACAACAGTATCCTAATAAGGAACAAGTATTTTCCATTTAATTGAAATATATTTATTGCAACACCCCTCCCCCCCCCAAAAAAACAAAAAAACAAATGGGTGGCTCAGATTTATTTGCTACCCAAAGTCAGGAGTGGAGGATGCAACCTGCAGTGGATATTAGGGAAGTACATCTAGATGGTAGTAATAAAACCCGCTCTCGCAATACTGTTGTATGTGTGATCACATGTGTGTAGGTGAGTCCTTTACCAGACGAAATGGGAAGAGGGTTTTTTTTTTGCAAAGGATTGTCAAAGAATATTTAGTTTGTATGACAAATAATCTATAAGGAATGGCTGGAAAGTGTTCTCAGATGAAAATGGGTTTCATTAGAGTTGCACTTTTTACATGTATAGTTTGAGCCAAATTCTTTTTTTAACTACAGTGGAACCTCAAATTAAGAAAATCCCAACTAAGAGTGTTTTAAGTTAAGTGAAGTTGCTTGGTCCGGGTTTTGTTTTGACATACAAGCAGCATTTTGAGTTAAGAGCTAGCACCAGAGGGAGTGCTAGCATGAGAGTACAGGGCTTTAGGATTTCAAGGGGGCATATTTTGTGCCTTGTGACTCCGTGCATTGTGCTCTTGTCCAATTTGGGAGATTGCTGTCTGCTTTGTTCTTGTTTTGTGTGGTTTTTATTGCTGGTATGATTGGCTCTATGAAGAGAGAGAGGGAGAGGCTGGAATGAGTACAGTATGATGCTTTTGCCTCTTCACTTTGTGCTTTGTGCTTTCTTGCCCCAACTTTGTGCTTCCACCATTTTAAAGTTGATCTTTCTCTTTTTTAGTTCCACATGAATGTGCATTTATATGGTATTTGTTACTTATAAAGTACATTTTATTATTTGAAACAAAAATGGGGGGGGGGTCAGGGGGCTGGAATGGATTTAAAGCCTTTCAATGCATTTCAATGGGAAAATTTGCTTTGAGATAAACGTGTTTTGAGTTAAGAGCTTGGTCATTGAACAATTAAAACCCTTGAATCAAGGTATCATTGTAGTAGAAAACAAACAGTATTCCTTGTAGTGTGGAAATCATTCACTTACAGTGGAGTAAAGAATAATTTCAACAAAAATGAACAGATAGAAATTTTGAGTAACATGCCTCTTTTAGGCTAAGAGGAATTTACCCTGGGTATATAGGGCTCCCTGGTGACACAGCAAATTAAACAGCTGAGTTGCTGAACTTACTGGCCGAAAGGGTTGGCAGTTTAAATCTGGAGAGCGGGGGTGATCTCCCTCTGTTAGCCCCAGCTTCTGCCAACATAGCAGTTCGAAAACAGGCAAATGTGAGTAGATTAATAGGTACCACTCCAGCAGGAAGGGAACAGCGCTCTATGCAGTCATGCCAGCCACATGACCTAGGAGGTGTCTACCAAGAATGCTGGCTCTTCAGCTTAGAAATAGAGATGAGAACTACCACCCAGTGTCAGACTCAACTAGACTTAACATCAGGGGAAGCCTTTACCTTTACCTTTTTAAATATAGAGTTAATTCTACTTTAATGGTGGGAGAGACTGCCAAATGCTTGGATCTGTTTTATAAATAAATATTAAGTAGCTCTGCATTCAAGTAAAACAAACAAAATTGAAGCTGACTATTTTTCTCTCGTCTATGGGCATGTTTACACTGATCACTTAGGTTGCTTTGGAACCAATTTAGGAGAAATCAGTTTTGCTTGGTGGGTGATTACATTGACATTAACCAGCAGGATGGCCACAAACCAATTCCAGTTCAAATGGGCTCTAGGGGAAAAGCAGGGAACATGGCAGAATGGAGGTAATCAATTATCTGCTGCCCAGCTTTTGCCTTGGGTCCTTTCCCCTATTATACATTGCAATAGGCAATGGGATGCAATCCTAATAAAGACATATTTATGAGTATCTTCGACATTAATGCTGGCCTAAGACCCATTTAACTAAGTAGGTAGGTCATCTATCCGAGTAAAGTGTTTATAAGGCTATACTACATGTCAAAAACAAGAACAAATTACTAGGAATCCCAAAAGAACTGTTGTCTTTATAATTTGAAATGATTTACTAGATATCCAAGGTTCACAGCAACCATCCTACCACTGTACCTATCTTTTGCCCCTTCCATCTTCTTCTCATTTGCATAGAAGTATTTCAGTGAGCTTCTAACTTTCTATTTCTTGCTTTCTCTCATTTCCCCCTTTTCCATCTGGGAGCACCTAGTTCTGATTGCAAAAGCTTGGAGAGAAAAACTGAACCTAACATTTTTTTTCCTGAAAATTGAGTAATGATGAAATCCTACTTGTCACAGATTTTATGGTATAGCTTTGGCCTGTTTTCACTACCACCGCTGTATTCTGGAACCATCCACTCCAGCTCTGTGCAAACAGGTTAGGTTTAAATTACCCGGGATCAATTTTAATGCAGTCAACCAAGCAGCTATCTCTACTAGTTCCAAGACAGTAAAATATACAACTACTAATCAATCCATAATAGGTTAAAAACAAATCCACCTGGGCAGTAGCACTAAAATGGCTAGTAGTGCCACAACTTTATTGAAAATATATTCTGTTCGATTTTATATTGTGTTAATTTGCTTTATTTATTTTATTTTGCAACTGTATGTATTTTATTTTGATGTAATTTTTGTTGTCTGCATTCTGTGTCTTATTTTTCTGTATTGTATCTTTGGGCTTGGCCTCATGTTAGCTGCCCCGAGTCCCCTGTGGGGAGATGGTGGCAGGGTATAAAAGGGTATTATTATTATTATTATTATTATTATTATTATTATTATTATTATTATTATTATAAACACAACAGGATGAGTCCACAGCAGAGACTCTGCTGGCTGTTGAATTGGATCACACGTCGGACATTTCCCAAGTGTCTAGGGCTGTGTGATGTATCAGTGAATAATGTGTGCAGATCCCAGTAAGGTAGCCTTCTGCAGCTGACAATTTTGTCAGCACTGATTGTGTTTAAGTGGAGGCCAAGGTCTTTAGGCACTGCGCCCAGTGTGCTGATCACCACTGGGACCTCCTTGACTGGCTTGTGCCAGAGTCTTTGCAGTTCGATCTTTAAATTCTCATATCGTGTCTGCTTTTCCAGTTGTTTCACTGCAATCCTGCTGTCACCTGGGATTGCAACATCAATGATCCATACTTTGTTTTTTAACACAATTGTGTGGTCAGGAGTACTATTCTCCAAAACTCTGTCTGTCTGAATCCGGAAGTCCCAGAGGAGTTTGGCGTGTTCATTCTCTGTAACTCTTTCCGGCTTGTGATCTCACCAGTTCTTTGTTGCAGGCAGATGATATTTGTGGCACAGGTTCCAATGAATCATCTGAGCAACGGTGTTATGCCTCTGCATGTAGTCTATCTGCATGATCTTCTTGCAGCAGCTGAGGATGTGATCTATTGTTTCATCTGCTTCCTTGGAGAGTCTACATTTGGGATCTGTTGTCGATTTTTCAATTCTGGCTTTGATGGCATTGGTTCGAATGGCTTGTTCTTGGGCTGCCAGAAACAGGCCCTCCATCTCCTTTTTCAGAGTTCCTATTATTATTATTATTATTATTATTATTATTATTATTATTATGGCTGGCAAATGTGTTTTATAGTTTAGAACTATATTAGAACTAGGAACACATTAACTAACATAAGAAATTTAATTATTTTCCCCATATTTATATTTTTCATATTATAGGTCCTGCCAGGAAAATGCTGCATTTTGAAATTTCCAAGGAGGGCAGTGAGTTATCAGTGGTGGCTCAAGCTGACGTGTGGCTCTTCCTCAAAGTCTCCAAAGCTAATCGGACAAGGACAAAAGTGACCATCCGGCTGTATCAGCAGCAGAAACTGCCCAAGCGCAACTCCCAAGTGGTAGAAGAGGATGTCGGCCTGAAAGGAGAAAAAGGTGACATTCTCATCTCTGAGAAGGCAGTAGACACCCGCAAAAGTACCTGGCACATTTTCCCAGTCTCCAGCAGCGTTCAGCGCCTCCTTGATCAGGGAAAAAATTCTCTGGATGTACGGATTGCTTGTGATCAGTGTCAAGAAACAGGAGCCAGTCTGGTGTTGCTGGGCAAGAGGAAAAAAAAGGAGGAAGATGTAGAAGGGAAAGAAAAGGATGGCAGTGAAAGCCCAGCGGAAGAGGAGAAGGAACAATCCCACAGGCCTTTCCTGATGATGCTTGCCAGACATTCAGAAGATCGCCAACACAAACGGCGGAGGAGAGGCCTTGAGTGTGATGGCAAAGTCAACATTTGCTGCAAGAAGCAATTTTTTGTGAGTTTCAAAGACATTGGCTGGAATGACTGGATCATTGCCCCAGCAGGCTACCATGCTAACTACTGTGAAGGAGACTGCCCTAGCCACATTGCGGGTACATCTGGCTCAACCCTCTCTTTCCACTCTACTGTTATCAACCACTACCGCATGAGAGGGCACAGCCCTTTCTCCAACCTCAAGTCATGTTGTGTACCAACCAAGCTGAGACCCATGTCCATGCTCTATTACGATGATGGGCAGAACATAATTAAAAAGGATATCCAGAACATGATTGTGGAGGAATGTGGCTGTTCATAGATATGCCTACATGCTGCAAACTCACATTCATTAGGGACTTCTTCTTTTTTACAGATTTCAAGAAGACAATTTAAAATTCATCTTAAGAAAAGAGACCAAGCGTGCTCAGCATTTCAAAATAAAACTATATGATTTCTAAAATCAACATATCCACTATTCACACAAGAGACAAACAACGGAAAGACGAATGGCATTCGCCAGGGACTGAAGGAGAAACATTCAAAAGGTGTGGGCACAAGCATTTTCTGTCTTATATGCCCCATGCTTTATTACTTAGCATTTTCACTTGTGTCAATCATAAGAGGAAGTATGTCTTCCTCTGCTACCATAACTATGCATTCAAGTCCTGACAGCAGCACACACAAAATGCTAAAAGTCTGCAATTTGGATGCTAAGTCCAAAATGGTATTAGTTCCCAGAAAAGCCATGTGTATGAACAACACTACATTCACTGGCACTTTTACTTCTGTCAGTTTACCAAGGACACATTGTGTGTGCCCATGTGTATGTGTGTACGTTTCTTATGGCATATGCACACAGAGAGCACACTTGCGAGTGTGTGTGTATATATTTATATATATATATAGGTAAAAGGGACAATAATGCGCAGGTGTATTCACCTTTATCTTCTGCACTATTTTTGCAAAAAAAAGTTTTTAAAATTATAAAGAAAGAAAGAAAATACAAAGTTACATTTCGTAAAGGTGCTTATGACATTAGAACTATGCAACCAAGTTGGTTTGAAACTGTTTACCTGAGAGAGAAATGAAAAAAAAAATACCCAGAATTTTTTTAAAAAAATGAAAGTAACATGTTTAACTTTTTCTTCAATAAGAGATACTTGAAACGGAACATGTTTGTCCAGCTACTGGAGCCAAACATTTCTATATTTTTTAAAAAAAGAGAAAAAAAGAGATTTTTTTTAAAAAAATGCTTACTATTTGCACTACAAAACTTATGTTCAACCTGTCTAATCCTTATTTAACAATTATTTGGGGGTGGGGGAGGGAATGTGGTTGGGTTGGAAGGGAGTCAAGAGCTGCACTTATTGTGAGCTATACAAAAACTGCTACAGCACACAAAAATAGTTATTTTTATTATTATAATAATTATTATTTTATACCTTTAAAAGATAGATGTGTACACCAAAGACACTTGTGTGAGCCTCTAAACAGTCTGTTTTTAGCTCATGTTATTCATAGGTTAGCATCTGGCTTAATGGTCATCAGCAAGGCTGGCTGCATTGAAACTGATGGAGAAGGTTACTAGAGGAACCTGTTTGGAGTCCTGAACAGAACATCAGAGTCTAGATTTGGTTCTGTGTTTCAAACATCCCTAATCTGTCGGGGTGCTTTGAATCAAAATTCTGTTTCAGGCCAAGAATAGTTCAATTATGAATCCTTTGTATGTACAGCAGCTGTACACTCATGGAAAGCAACTTCCTGTAAGGGGGGAATCTATATTTGTATATGTATGTATATATACAGTTTAAGCACTTCAGGCTACACTTTTAATGTTCTTAAAAACAATGAATGTTTATGTGCCAAGCACAGTATATTAAATGTTTTCCTTTTTTCAGTGGAGGAAATGGATTTAAAGTGATACCACTCTCCATAAAAAGAATGCACTCTCCTGCATAGACATGACTTCAATCTAGTTTTCACCAGTCCTGAATCCTAGCCGAACCCAACTTTACCATAGCAGTATCTACTAATTTGGGCATTTTAGATATATGCAAGGCATCCAGTATTCCCCATATCTAATTAGTTATGCAAATCTCATTTATTCATTTATTCAAATTGGGGTTAGAAATTGAATTTGTGCCAGTGTGGGCTAAATCTTAAATATTCTTGATCAATAATGATTATTGTAGGTTTTTCCGGGCTATATGGCCATGTTCTGGAGGCAATTTTTCTCCTGACGTTTCGCCTGCATCTATGGGTTGCCATAGATGCAGGTGAAACGTCAGGAGAAAAATTGCCTCCAGAACATGGCCATATAGCCCGGAAAAACCTACAACAACCCATGGATTCCGGCCATGAAAGCCTTCGACAATACAATAATGATTATGTCCATTTATCTGAAACTAAACAAGCAAGCAGTAAGAGCAAGAGATTTTGCACATTACCTTACTAATGTGCATAGTGTTTAGTTGATGCTGGAGAGCTGTGGTTCTCAACCTGGGGTCCCCAGATGTTTTTGGACTTCAACTCCCAGAAATCCTAACAGCTGGTAAACTGGCCGGGATTCCTGGGAGTTGTAGGCCCAAACACCTGGGGACCCACAGGTTGAGAACCACTGCTGGAGAGCATGCACAACGAACAATCACAATCAAATAATGTGTGTATTGCTCTCTTAATTTAAGTAACCCACTAGGTTACTATGATATCACCCAGGCAGTAAATAAGATTTATCTGGCAACTAAAAATATTGAGTTAGGTCTGTGATCGACCCATATGGTTAGGGCAACAAGTAAAATCTCCATCTCACCAAAGTGTGCATTTTCAATGTGAATTAATTACAGATGTTCACTTACATAGACTAACCAGACAACTTTTATTAACCCCAGTACATGTGATTTTCAACTGTAAAAGAATTACGAAATCAAAGCATTGGTTTATGCTGAACATTCATGACAGAATGAGAAATCTTTTTATCACATTTTCTGTCGAACCCTGATTCGATTTATGTTGGGAGCAATATGCAAACAAATAGATTATTCTTATAGTACACTCAGATCCCATTTGTAATGACAGGGATAACATGCTAACATGTTGTCAATCACGAGGATAGGAAACAGGCTTTGGTCTGCATTTATCTGCAATTTGGGAAGGCAAAGGAATCTCGAAAAGGGAGTGACTGAACAATTGGAATTGTAAAATGCTGGCTTCGTAGTTAAATATCCATGATTTTCTGAAATTCAAGCATTCCTAAAATTATTTGATTATCTTTAGGATTTACACTTAAGAGTGTGAAGTTCAGCACAAATTTTCCACATCAAAAAGATTCAGAGATAAAGGTGGCACATTTTCTGGAATGCTCTTTTCTCTGAAGTTCAATCACAGACAATCTTTCTCAGAGATTAGAATAGGCATGCATATAATTTCCACAATAATTTGTGAATGTTAAGCAGTTCCAAGAACTTCAGTACACTTGCCTACTCAAGGTCACCAAGCAAGTGTCATCAAGCTCATGGAGCTTGCTCTCAGGTATCCGGATTCTATGAATATATATATATATATATATATATATATATATATATATATATAATCTCAATATATCACATCACATGAAGGAACAGTCAAATTAGAAGTTGTCCAAATCAGGAATAGAGAAAGGCAGAGATGTGGGCCAGTGTAGTGCAAATTGCTATAGCCAACGTAGAGTTTCTGTTTTAAAAAATCCAGATTTTAATTAATACACAACTTGCTTAGGTAAATGACTCTCTCTCAGCCAAACCTACCTCATAAGGTGGTTGTGAGATTAAATGAAAAGAAGTGTAAAGTTTGCTCTAAAATAATTATCAGTAACATTTGTATGGCCACATTCAGCACTAACCGACCACTTCCTCACTAGTTAATCACATGCTTATTGCTGTTTCATTATTACAGACAACAGCATTGACAATTTCATGCTAGCACAAAAAGTAGTTGTATTAGTTTTGTTTCAGAAATATTTGGAAAAAAATCAATTTCTGCTGCAGTTGAATGCAACAGCTTAATCCATTTTCTTGAAATATCAGCCTGATTTAAGAACCAGACATACAATTGTCTGTACTTTGCGATCATTTCAATCTATTCTATTTGTCTAGATTCTGCAGTTGTTTAAAAAAATACAGAGTTAAGTTGCAGTGGATTATTTTATGATAAACACATTGGAAGGAGTTATATAAATTAAAAAGCAAGTGCCTCTTATCCCTTTCCAGTAGCATTCATTTTCTTAAATTCTCTAAAGTCAGGCATAGGCTTTTGATTTGTAGTCATTCAAAGGAGAGGAGGCTGGGAAAGTATACGAATGAATAAAATATGAAATTTGGTACATTAGTCAAGAGTGACTCTAATTCCAGAAAAACAACAAAAAATTGAAAAAGATAATCTGTTTAATTAAATGAGTATGTTCTCAAAATAGAGTTTGAAATTGCTCCCATATTTGACAAGTTCTTTAGGCCAAAAAGCCTTGGCAACACAAGCCCTTTTAGGTAGCAATTAAAAACAGAATAAGAATAGTGTCAGGGGTTTTTTTGTCACTGTTGTTTTTTAAAGTCATTCTTTTGTTCAGCATCTGCCACTTGCATTGTTCCAGTCATTCAAAATGACATGTCCTCGGTTACTGAGAAACGGAATATCCGATACTAACTCTGCTTAAAAACTGGATGGTGTGAAAAGTGCAATGATGCCTAGTGGATTTGGATAGATTAATGTGAGGTTTACAAAGGCATGGTTCAGGCCTAATGCTGTCCAGTCTTCTAAAACATGTTCTTTCTCTCTGGTTTGGACCAACTATGATTTATACATAATTTGAAATATTGTTATCTCCGATATGGAAGAGGAGTGAGGAATCTGAGAGGTTCCTAATCTCCTAACCTTGGTTAAAAACAAACAAAACAAACAGGCAGCATTAAGCATATGCCAAATAAAACAAGAATAGTTGCGTTGTTGTAGGTTTTTTTGGACTATATGGCCATGGTCTAGAGGCATTCTCCCCTGACGTTTCGCCTGCATCTATGGCAAGCATCCTCAGAGGTAGTGAGGGTGCTTGCCATAGATGCAGGCGAAACATCAGGAGAGAATGCCTCTAGACTAGGGGTCCTCAAACTAAGGCCCGGGGGCCAGATACGGCCCTCCAAGGTCATTTACCCGGCCCTCACTCAGGGTCAACCTAAGTCTGAAACGACTTGAAAGCACACAACAACAACAATCCTATCTCATCAGCCAAAAGCAGGCCCACACTTCCCATTGAAATACTAATAAGTCTATATTTGTTAAAATTGTTCTTCATTTTAATTATTGTATTGTTTCAAAGTAGTTTTTTTTTGCACTACAAATAAGATGTGTGCAGTGTGCATAGGAATTCATTCATGTTTTTTTCAAATTATAATCCGGCCCTCCAACAGTTTGAGAAACTGTGACCTGGCCCTCTGTTTAAAAAGTTTGAGGACCCCTGGTCTAGAGGCATTCTCTCCTGACATTTCACCTGCATCTATGGCAAGCATCCTCAGAGGTCTGAGGATGCTTGCCATAGATGCAGGCGAAACGTCAGGAGAGAATGCCTCTAGACCATGGCCATATAGCCCGAAAAAACCTACAACAACCCAGTGATTCCGCCCATGAAAGACTTCAACAATACATTAAAACAAGAATAACCTGCAGGTGCTTATATATAGCCCTCTCTAAATTTTAATGACCCTAGATCTACAGATAGTCCAGTTTCAGACATTTCAAAAGGAGAAGGTGCAAACTCTTGATTTCCATAAGAACAGCTCAATAGCAATTCTGTTGTTGCAATTACATAAGTGATTTATGTCAGCACTAAAACACATTATTAATTGAAGCTTAAAAACGTAAAAAATATTTTTTAAAGTTCAGTAAAATCCCAGCCACCAAGCTCATGCAAACATGCCATTTCAAAAGTAAAAGAGTGATGCTTGCAAATACCTTTGTGTAAAACCAACAATTTAAAAACCTATACTTCCCATAACTTTAGTACTTATACCACTGAAATCAATTTAACTAAATGGATTTTTTTACAGCAAATATCTAATGTAGCTCATAAGACAGATTCCGAAACTCTGTATTTATACTAATACATTTATGTACTATTCAGTATAAGAAGTTTCCAGGCCAGAAACCTTATGAACATCATTTTACGCTTAAGGCAATCTACATTTATATCATATTTTTGTTATTTATTTTTTTATTCAGTATTTCTTTGTTAATTTACAACAGTTTAGTTTTGTATTTAAACTCACTGAAAACAGAACTTTGACAATGGACTGAAGTACATATGTGTGTGTGTATATGTATATGTGTGCTTGTATGTATATATATAAACACACACACACACATC